CGCCTTTCCGCGCGCGGCGACTGGGTGCTCGGGTTCGCCCGGGGCCGCGCGGAGGAGCGGCCCGCCCGAGCTGGCTGTGCACCGCAGTGGCCAGACAGCGCCTGCCCCTCGGTGCTGGCGCGCGGACGGACCCCGGTTCCCTGCCCGCCGACGTCCACGGTGCAAACCCTGCGGAGAGTGGGCCGCGCTCCCTTTAGCCTTAGGGCTTCTCAGACTAGGGGTGTAGCTTTTCCTACAGCCCGGACTGCGAGGTACCATCTTACCCCCCCGGGTTAGACGGGCTCGCAGTGGAAAAAGTAGTTGGATGCTTCTTTTGCCATCCAAATAAACACGAACTCATGTTCGAGCCTACAAAAAAAAGCCTTTGCTGTTTCACAAGTAGGGTCACATGAGGTTTTAGAATCTAAAGAATGTGGAAAGGCTTGGAGAGTGGAAATAATCATAAAGGCTTTGACTGTTGTGATTGTTGCCAAGGGCCGTGTTCAAAGGGCACTCTCTTTGTTGCTTTTTATTTATTGTGAAAACAACTTAAAACTCAAAAAAATTAAAACATATTTCTGCCAAAATAACTACTGCTTTCAGTTAATCATACCATCTCCAAGTTTATATAAATCACGTTTCTCCATACTTTTATGAGGTTGTAAACTGTGATTTTTAAAAATTTGGTGCTAGTTCCTATGTAATCTTCGTATTTACTGTTTTTAGTAGCTGTGTTTAGAACATTGGCTTGTTACACTGATTTATAAAATAATTTTCCTATTGCTGGAGATTGAGGTTCTTTTTTATTTTTCCGCAGTGTTGCACGTTTTATCTGCTGCTAAAAACATTCTGTGCTTATAGATTTTTTCCTGTTGTTTCTGTGTAATAATCTCTGGGAGTAACACTGTTTTTCCTTTTCAGAAAACTGATTGGGAGGTAGCTATTAAAAGCATTAATAAAAAGAACTTGTCAAAATCACAAATACTGCTTGGAAAGGAAATTAAAATTTTAAAGGTATGTTACTTTGTGTATTACATACTAGGCTAAAATTTAAATTAAATATATATGATGGCATCCTTTGCAATTTTGGTACTTGGGTGCAAGTTCGGTAATTTTCAGCTGCTACTCATTTTTATATGCTGTTTTTTGAAGCACTGAATACACTGAGGCCAATTTTTGTTTTGTTTTGTTTTGTTTTTTTGGAATAAGGTCTTGTTGTGTAGTTCAGGCTGATCTTGAACTCACTGTGTAGCCCATGGTGGCCTTGAACTTGCAGTGATCCTTCTGTCTCAGCCTCATGTGCTGGGGTTACAAGCATGCACCACCATGCCTGACTGAAGCTATTTTTAGTAACATATTTGTGACTCGTGGCCCACTTTAGAGAGATTCTGTGAAAACTGATTTTAGCTTCTCATTGTTTTACTTTTTCAGTTACCATATTACTATTGGAGAAGAGGGTTAGGCAGGCCAGTATATCTGTACACTATTTGTTCACTTCTTCTGTTAACCTTTTTCACTTTACAATTAAGTTTCTTTGAGAGGAGTAGGACCACTTTTTTAAAAAATTGAAGGTTTTATCGTTGGCAATAGTTTTTTTAGATTACTCCTAGCCCCAGTTACCCAAGTGAGATGTTTTGAGGAAAAAAAAAAGGATTGCATGGTCAAATACATTTGGAAAATCCTGCTGGGCATGGTGGCGCAAGCCTGTAATACCAGCACTGGGGAACTGAGGCAGGAAGATCCCTCTGAGTTTGAGGCCAGCCCGGGCTCCATGAGCAAGTTCACAGTCAGGTTGAACTATATAGTGAGACCTTGCCTCAAAAAACAAACAAGAAAACGTTTGGAAAATCCTGTTTACTGAATAGTTGGGTGATCACAAAGCACATAGCTCACTATAGACAGTGAAAAATTCTTCCAGTTTCAGTGTATTTAGCCCCGTTTCACAGACTAATATGAGCATGGAACTCTCATTCTACACTTCTCAGCTTTCCTTGTGGAGAATTCTTTGGTAAGATTTATAGCTCTTACAGCTGAGATGTATACTTTCTTTTCTTTTAGGCAGATGATATACTTTTAAAAAGCACTTTGGATCTCTGTTGTCATTAGAAATTTATATTAAGTTTGGTAGTCTGTGACCATACTGACAGTTGAATTTGTTTTGTAAACAAGAATACTGACTTTGTTAGAAGTCTACGAAATGGTGGTGTTAAAAAAATATTTAGGCTCCATATAAAGTTTGATCAGGCACATTTTGTTTCTCAGTAGACTGAATTTTTAGGCTATTAATAGAGGTGTAATTTGCTAGCTATAGTAAATGTGTGTGTATACTTAATTTGTATTTGCATATTGAAATATTAAAATCACTAGAATACTTATTAATATTCTAAATTCTCAATTTCTTTAACAGGAACTTCAGCATGAAAATATTGTAGCACTCTATGATGTTCAGGTACTTTATTTTGCATTTTAAAAAAACATTTAAAAAATTCTATTTTATACAAATTTAGGTGATTCTTAATGCAAATTTACAATTGCCTTAGTTCTTTTTGAAGAGACATATAGTTTATGTCATTAAGAACTTGTTTAAAATATGGAGCAATAGTCTACAGTAATGTGCAGCATGGGTACATTTATTAACAATTGGTAATATACTGTCAGAGTGGTTTGTTAGGTCAAGTAGGGGAATGCTGATACCACATCTAGCATTTCTGTGATACAGGAAGGAGCATTGTGCGCTACTGAAAAACAAATGGAGTGTTTTTCTTGTATGAGAACGTTTATAAATCATAGAAATGTTAGGAAATAAGATGAATAAAAACAAGGATGTTAGGCACATTCGTAACCCAGATAGATTTGTGGTTATCAGTGTGGCATATAGTAGGCTTGTGTTTTATTTGGAGATGGGAAAATGGGATTCTAATGTCATTTTCTAAAGCAACATTACTCTATAATCACAATTACCCTTTTCAGAGGTCAGCTTTAGAGAAAGTACTGCTGTTTGGGTGGAGCAGCAGACATAGTAGTTGGCTTATATTTAGGGGCCATATTATGTTTAAAAAATTCTCTTTTACACGCTAGATACACTTTATGTGATGTTCACTGTGAGAGCTGAAGGGACTGAGGCATATGGAGAGAATAGCAGATTGAGATTTTTCTCTACTCTTACCTCAGGGCAGACTGTTACACATGGTTCAGATATCATTCTTTTGTTTTGCTTAGTTTATACAGTTGCATTTCAGTAAAAAATATTTCTTGCTAAAACTTTTCTGTACTTATTTGCATTGTTTAAATTCACTTTGCAAGTTTTTGAATGGTTACCATGTATGAGTCATTGTTCTGAGTAGTAGAAATAAGGTAGTGAATAAAAGTCTTTGCACTCAGTGCTTAATTTTAGTGGGGTGAGAAAAAATAGACTATTTTAGATATATTTTTATGTAGTCATTATTTACATGATAATATCTTTTGATTCCTTTACCCTGATGCCCTTTCTTCTTTGTTTTTTGGTACTGGGAATTGAACTCATGACTAGGCAGGTGCTTGTGCCACAGAGCTATATCCCTGGCCCCGCTAACATGGTGATATCTTACCAAAAAGTATTTAAGTAAACCCATGTTATAGGTATAGTGTATTGTTTGTCTCATTTTATAGAAAATTTTTTTCCAATTATAGAAAAATGCTATAAAATAACATACCTGTTATTATTGTAGTTCAGTTTCTACAATTGGAATTACCAGGTCAAAAAGCATGCCAAAATTTTTGATCATAGAGTATGCTTGCTTTCTAAAGATTTTGCAGTTAAAACTAGTATGCATGAGATGTGTGAGTGCTGTAGGTATATTTTACCTGTTTAAATAGATATGAATCATTCCAGAAATTAAAGCACTATAACAAGGGGGAAAAAAAACTTTAAAAAACTAAACTCATCTCACAATCCTAGTTGAAATGACCATTCTCCTCAGAGCTGTTTGTGTAGTTTGTCTGTCTTATTCTCTATAGATAGAGGGCACCAATTGGTACAAGTTGGTGCCTAGTACAAAAATAGTTAAGTAATATTAACTGTTAATTTGCCATTCTTGGAGAGGTACAGAAAACCCTTGCATTTGTGAAGGAGGTTTCTCTTTCCGAGCAGAGCGTACTTAGATTTTTTTTTTTCATTAGAAT